TCATTATATTAGAATTTATCATTATGGTGCTTTGATGCAAATGTCATTAATTTGTATGTAAATTCTCTTTGAATTTTCATCACTAGAATCTGCAAATGCCACTTGGTTGCATGTGTTCCTCAGCTAGAAGAAGTTTTTTTTCCGGCTAGAAGAAGAATAAACCTAACAGATTCAGAGACCATTTTTTAATGATCAGAGCCATGGCCGATTTTTTCAGTATGTTCCAAGATTGCTGTTTCTCTTACTTTGTTTGTAATGTATTATAACATACTATTTGTAAGTGAAATTAAAGCCATGACCAAAAAATGGAGAGAGGGAAGAATGAGTTGGCGATATTCCTTGTTCTTTAAGATGGAATAAGTAGGCTATTCTAAAAATAAATGATAATGAGGTGGATTTCATTGTAATATTGCAAAATATTTCTTTGATATCTTAATTCTCTTTATTTGTATGGACTGTTTATATCCTTTATGTCTCTATGAACATCCATAGCTAAATCGAACTTTTAATATCGATTATAAATATGCATTGCTTGCAGGTGGTTCAAGCAATGATTCAAATGGGTGTTCTTGTTCCCACTGGTGATATGACAGCTGTCAGAAGAACAGCTCAGTTCTTTCTTAATAGGTGATGTACAGGAATTATAATATAAATTAACTTGTATTAAAAAGTGTCTCTCGTCTTTATCCTATTGTTGTTATTTTTTACTTTCAGTTTTGAAGAGCGCCTTGCAGCGCAGAGGAAAGAGAGGGAGATGGCGAGTGCTGAACTTGGCTTCAAAAAGCAATTGACCAAAGAAGAAAGATTAGAGAAGAAGAAGCAGCGGCTAGCAGCAATAGGTGAGGCATATGGTCTTTCAGTTTGTAGAGCATGTAATCTGAGCCTTTAGTACCCTGCGTTGTCGATCTGTTTCCTGTGAAATTATGATTGAGTTCTTAGGTATTAGTATAGTGCCAAATTTCTAAGCTTAAGTATGCTCTAATATTCAGGGGAGGATCTTTTGGCCATTGCTGCTGATCAACCATTCCGTTTTCCAGCTACTTTCACGTTTGTTGTTAGAGCATTCTCAGGTGTAGGAATCAAGAAACAAATTTTTATCTAATTTTACTGCCTCGGTGGTAGAGTTTCATTAAAATTCTCTCTCATCCGTGCAGTACTAGATGGAATAGGAAAGGGACTTGACCCTAGATTTGACATTACTGAGATTGCCAAACCGTAAGTGTGGTTTATGATTTCTTTTTCTTAGTTGGCTTCTGCTTGATTATAAGTTTTAATTTGCTGATTTTTGAATCATCTGGATTTGATTTCATTTGCATATCCATTACCAGATATGCCTTGGAATTGCTTAGATTCCGCGAAGCTGGTCTTGAGGTCATTGTTAAGGTAGGCTTCTTATTGTCTTCTTCTGTGCTGCACAGTTAAACCTTTCTAAACTCTCTTATGCATTTACAGTGGAACTAATAAGTTGTTCTATTACACAGGACATTAAGAAAAGATGGGAGAGACAGTCAAGTGCATTCTATAACTTGTTTAGACAGGCTGACAGAGTTGAAAAGTTGGCACAGACGATTCAGAGATTGGTATTCACCATCATATTCTTTGACCTTTCTAACTCTCATGTCGATTTAGGCAGTACTCTTACTCTTTAGAGCCCTTTTAATTTGTTGCAGGAAGAGGGTGATCTAAAGCTTCGAGTGCGAACTTTGGAATCTGAAAGAGCATTTCAAAGAGTTGCTGCTGTCCAAAAAACAATTGGAAATGTGAGCTTTCAGCTGGATTCTATATTTTAAAACTACATATTGGAGATAGAAAATGATTTGATGTTTGCATTAATATCACAAAAATGAGATCAAGAAGTTGACTTGGTTTGACTACGTGATGCCATTTTGGACTCCTGAGTAGATTATGTTTTTAGGTATTAGGATAATGCTATAAAAGCTTCTTAGGATCCACTCAGTTGTGAAGTATATGAAAATGAGCATTGTTGAAAGGTTGCCCAGTTATACTGATTATGTGACCTGGAAGATGATAGTCCATCCAAGTTATATTGAACGCTTCCAAGGTGCATTGGTGCTGTTACATTATAAAAATAGTGCCTAAGAGATGATAAAAGAATACTGAACATACTTCCATCAAAAATAGTCCAGGCAATCATTTGGCTTTAAGAATGATTGAGACTGAAAAGGAGTGGGAGCCAATGTTGCTTGTAAAGTTCAAGTCTCTATTTGGACAATTAATATGTGGAACATGTTCTTTAGCTGGACTGCACCAACCCTGGAAACTTTCAGCATGGTACTATGTCATAACACTTGACAGTTTCTACGATAGATTCAGTCTACCTAAATAGCAGCATCATTGATACATTCTTTTTCATGTCTTCAAGGAGCGCTCTTGTGATTCCTGGTCTAGGTAAATCTAATTTTTACAATGAGATTTACATATGATACATCTTTGGTGTGATATAAATCTAAAACCATTGTATTGTCGTCATTGTTGACCAACAATGAAAGTCCATTAGAAAAACAAAAAACTTGTATAGATTCACACAGACAAAGGGCAAAATTTGCACTTATATGCATGCCATTTGGATACTTGTAAATAGAGTTATATACAGTTGGCATTGTTTTTGTTTACTAGGATCCATTTATGGTGAAGAATGGACCAGGGGTTAGAGACCAAATAGGATTACTCGAGTGAACAAACAATATCAGAAAATAAGATTAGACACAAAGTTAATTCTTTTTTTTTGTCTAGAGGACTTGTTCTACTCTTTAAATTGTGGTTTGCTGTTTTCAAAAATTTAAAGTTGATTGGTGTCTATATATATGCAGCTATGCTCTATGCAATCTGATGTTCTTACATCTTTTTGTATGCAAAATGACAGGCTGTTGCTTTAGGAAGTTTGGTAAACCTTGCAACAATTTTATATTTCAATTCTGTTCGAGTAAGCAATCCCCGACATAATTGTTTTTGGAGGTATGCTTTTGCTCTCATTTTCTTATTTTTGTAATATATATATATATTTTGTGGACAGGTGCCTGCTATGGCTGCATACCTGCTATGTGCATTTTTTGGAGCACAAGTCCTCTTCGGCTTTCTCAAAGTGAAAAAATTAGACCAGCAAGAGAGATTGATAACCGGCACTGCTTAACATGCGAGTTTTACTGAGTACAGGTTCAGCTTGCAATCTTATAAAATCTTTTCATTTTTCTGCATCCTAATTTAGCTTCTTTGTTCATTGTATATCATAGCGAGTGTCCCACAGTAAAGCAGAAGTACGTAAATGCCGCATAGTACTTGTAAATATAACAACATTATAACATTCATTTCCTATAGAGCCAATACACAACTTTGTATCTAATTTTCGTTCAGCTTCTGGCTTTGTTTCTTCGTTTGGAAAGGTGTGGTTTCTTGGCACTTTGTGATCTGTGTCTAAAATGTTGTAATGTTCCTTTGTCCAGAGCAGCGAAATATTCTATGTTTAATTATGGGTAATTATATATTACTTTTTATAATTAATTATGATTAGTATCCTAATTTTTATATTTTAAAATTTAAAAATAGTATTGGGGTCTTTACATTTATGAACGTGACACATTTAATCTCAATTTTTTTAGATTGTTAATTTCATCAATAAAAAAAATCGTATGTCATGAGCAAAAAGAGTACGAATAAAAATATAATTTATATCACTTTTTCATCCTAATTGATTTTTTCTTTTTTTTTCTCTTTCCAACCTACTCTCACTTGTTGCACTTGCTTGACCGTCGCACTTGTATCGCTTGTTGTTGTCGCACCCTATATGCTCGCAATCACACTCGTTTGCTTGTCGCACTTTGCTCGTTGTTGCACCCGCTCGCTCATTGTACCTTACTTGTCTGTTGCATCTACTTGTCCACTACTCGCCCATTGCACCTTCCTCGTCCAACATCATTGTGACTCGACTATCGCACCTTCTTGCCTACCACTCACTCGATGCATCTTGCTCGCCCATCGCACCCTCACTTGCTCGTCGCTCCTTTTCCAACCTATTCATTGTCACCCTATCATCCACGCCTTGGTTGATAGCGACCTCTTCGTCGTCGGAGAAGTTTGCTACCTATGCATCTCCACTTCTGTCGTGGTGCCCTCGTTGTACACCGAGGTCGATAAGTTCTTGGACCTTGTTAGATACAACACCGACGAGAATCAAGGTTCGGAGTATTGTTATTGAAAGTTAAATAAAGCTGAGATCTCATCAACTTGCTCTCTTTTTTTTCTTGGCAAGATAATGGCCAGAACTTCACAATCTCTAAATCGCACTTCTTACATTTTTATCTAAATCTTTCTTAGCATTTGCATATAGGTAGAATTTTGATTATGTATAAGATACAAGATTGGTATATTTTATGACAACAATTTATTTTTCTTGGCACCTAGTACTGATCATTAAAAACTTATTCTAGGCTTTGAAGACTTCTGATCTTGAAGAAATGCATTTCAACATGTTCTTGGTGGAACAGTTAGGTGGGGATGGCACAGATGCTTAACAATGGTTTAGAAATGGATTCTAGCTTTCATATGTGGCTGAGAGATGAGAAGCTTATTTACCAAAAAGACAAAGATGGGTTGTGCTAGAAGTAAGATGTGATTGAGCAAAACTTGTACCATGTTGTAGCTTTTAGATTCTGGTGAATGTAACAATGGCTGCATGATGACCAATTTGATGTTTTCTCAATCATGCATTGAACTATATGTAATGATCAGAAATGAACAGTCTTCTGTCGACTGAGTGATGGATGCTTATGATGTTATTTTTATGGATCTGTACTTGCATATCGTATTATTATTATTATTATTTATTATGAAGCTTTCCTGATACATAGACAAATTCACCAATCTCTTTCATGCAGTGAAAGCTCTAAAATTGTCAAGATTAAATGAACCGTTCTTGATATTTTGATATGCTATTAGAAATAATAAATAGAGATTTCTCGATGTGCAGTTTGCATGCTTGTCGTCGAATGGTTGGCGGGCAGCAGCGTGTTGGGGGTGACTCGAGGAATCCATCTCTTTCCCCACAGCACAGAGGGGTTCTTCGGACGCACCACTCATTCGAAGACCGTGCGTGGGTTGAATCCCTGCAAACATTGACATGTATGTCATGGAACATTGTGAAAAATCGAATAAAAGTGTGTATTCTTGTGTGACTGCATGTCATGGATAGAACATACAACAAATTACTAATATAATTTAAAGTCAACTGAGTGAACATACAAAGAGAAGTAAAAGCAAACAGACGAACCAATGATACTGGAAACTCAATCATCTCTAAATATGAACCCAGACCGATCTCAGTAGCTGCTTGTAAGAAGACTCCAAGATCGTTGTCTTATGCACAACAACGGAAAGCTCTCCAATCTTCTATTATCAATTAGCTGCACACTTCCCTGTTGTTCTCCACTCCACTCTCGGCAGACTCCAAAAGCTTCAGAATTGACCCACCAGCCTCCTTCGGCACTGCAGCGAACGCGTCCAACCCAGGCTTCATCCACATCGACATTGACCCCCTGCCATCGAAGCCAACGAAAGGGATCCTTCCGTCATTGAGGAATTTGAAGACGTGGATCTGGGATCCGGATGGGCCGGTGTCGATTAAGAGGCCGAACCCCTTACGTCGAGGGGCATCGAAGTGGGAGGAAAGGTGAGCGCGGCCAACGACAACAAAGAGGTAGAAGAGGAAGGAAAAGATTATGAGGCTAGTGGAGAGGATCCAGCAGCAGTCACCTCCGTCGTAGGGCGCCGCCTGATGCAAGAATCCCCTGGCTCCTCGGGCGTCCGATAACCGCCCGTTCTATCGTCGGCGGCGGCAGGTCCGCATCCCCACGGCACTCCGCCGTCCACGCCTCCACGAACCTCCAGAGGGCCCGACCATCCACCACCGCGGGGTGAGCGGCAAACCCCACTGCCACGCTATCCACCCCCTGGGGCCCACAGAACCTCGTCACCTGCACGGCGAACAACGGCGCGGGGAGTTCCCTCACGTCGAGCTCCGGCACGAGGCGGAGGAAGGCGCTGTGGTCATGGACTTCGGCGTTGGCGAGGAAGCCGAGGTCGCCTTCTGCCTCCGCCTCGAGGAAGGCGACGCCGGGGCCGTTGGCGGCAGGGGAGCAGTCGATGACTACGTTACCCGAGTAGAGGAGGTAGGTGAGCTCCCCAGCAAGCGGGAAGTAGTGAAGGAGTGTGGGGAAAAGCAAGAGAGGGCAGCCTTCGGAAGAGCAGTAGGCGTAAATTATAATTAATTATAAAATTATAAAATTAAAATATTATAATATAAATATTTTAAAATATTATTATACATCATACAAATTATAATAATTTTAATATTAAATATTTTAAAATATAAATAAAAGATGATAAGAAAAAAATATAATATCCTGTCTCTCCTCGTAGAATCCTCATTCTAATTTTTTCATGGCTTAGTAAAGAATAGGAAGGGGGAAAGATGAAATATAAATAATAATTTAATTTTTATTTTTAATTTATTTGTACATACAAAGATAGAATTTAATATTTATTTCTTATTATTCAAACACATAAATAAAATTTAAATTATTGTTTTCTAAAAATTATATCACTCATTAAGAAATAAATCAATTAATAATTTAATTGGTTGATAAGATTCCTAATTTATCCACATGATTAAGAAAATTAATTTTAATCATTTCCTTAGTCATACTATACAAATAAGGATGTTAATAATTTAAATAAAGTAACACATTATTTATGATAATTTTATTTATGTTAAGGAAAAAATTGATTTAAAAAAGTGATTAATTGTAACAAAATAGGACAAAAACTAGTCCAAATTGGATTTTTCTTTTTTGTGTGTACCAATGACTTATATTTAGCATCAAGATCCTTTTGAGTAAGAACTCTCTCTCTCTCTCTCTCTCTCTCTATATATATATATATATATATATATATATATATATATATATATATATATATATATATATATAT